ACGATGTAAAAATATATATAATTAAAATAATAATAATAAAAAAGAATATGAGAAAAAAACATATCTACTTGTCAGAGACTGAGAGTTGTCTCTGAGAGATCATTCTTTCTGTCTACTTTAATATTAACTGGGAAATAAAAAAATAAAACATGTTTTCTTGCTAATGGGACATGGTAGAAACAGTGTGTGCAACCACATGGTAATGTCTTTTAACTGACATTGTTCTCTTCCTTCCTTCCTTCATTGTTCTCTCTCTTCTTCCCTAAGTAGAATGTAGATTAAATGATTTGAGTTCAATATTCATCTTGTACCATGAATAAATTAATCATGATGAAGCAGTCCAATCCTTTGGGGGTCCTGAATATATTTAAATCCACTATATCCACATCTTTACCTAACATTTTTATACAAGCTACTGAAATCTGGTTTACAAACTTATTATCTTCCCTTCTATATCTAATCCAACATTCTCCAACATTTTTTCACATAACAGGATATATAGACAATGATATACATACATCACATTGGGGTAACAGACAAAACTTTGACTGTAATGACTACTCTGAGGGAGCCTCTGAAGAGGCCAAAACTGATTGCACCTGGTGTTCTGAAGATATAAAAGATCAAAATCATGAAAAAACATGTAAGTAACTGAAACATACTATTATACTATGGTATATTGTTTGAATAATTCACTTCTATATACTTCAGCTTCTTATTTTTAAAAAATCATCTCTTCCCTTAATATTCCTGAAATGTGGCTTTCAGAGTTCTCTTTCCCCTGAGGTTACTTCATCTACTCTTAAGACATTAATTAAAAGTTTATGCTCAAGTCTCTTTCTTGAGCACCAGCTAGCAGAAATACAATTTCTTAAGGAACAATATGCATCTGAAGTTTTTCAGGCATTCAAATTAAATTTACTATGTTCACCCTCAAAGACATCATCTTATACACTTCCTCCTCCAACTCCTCCTCTTTTTATCTCTCCTTTCACTCCTCATTTTCCCTCTTCTTTATGTCTCATATCCAACAAAGTTAAAAGTAATCTGTTTATTCTCTTGGAGTAGGCCAGACTTACTAATTAAAAAATCAGATCATATGGGAGCTAATCAATTATCATGCATCATATATAAAGCACTTAAAAGCATTCTGAATCGGGCCTCCCCGGTGGCGCAGCGGTTGAGCGCTGGGTTGCGAAGCTGCCCGCAGCCTCTGCAGCGGTTCAATCCCCGGCTGCTCCCCGGCCACCGGAGGAGGGTCCCACATGGTGCGCAGACCTCTCCTGCCGCCCGCTGCTCCCCTCAGCAGTGTACTTCGGTCCTTCTGCCTGCTCTGCTCCCCGCTCTGGCTCTGGTGAATTCTCTCACCCTCCCGCGCTTCTGACTGTACCCAGTGCTTGTATAAATAAATAAATAAATCTTACCAAAAAAAAAAAAAAAAAAAAAAAGCATTCTGAATCTGTGAAACACTACAAAATACTGATAACAATGTTAATAAAATGAATGGTATCACAGAAACATAAAGCATTAAAAGTTGTAAGTTATAGTAACTGTTGAGTGTGTACTAAGCAAAGCGACCAAAGAAATCATTTCTAATTGAGACCTTGTTTTCTCATCTGCAGCCTTATGTTTATTCACACAATGAATGTGCAGTTACTGGGTTCCTATGTGTCAGGAAATGTGTAATTTTGGGGAATACAAAGATGAAAAGTTGAGTACAACATTTCCTTTCCCTCTAGGGTGGAAGGCAAACATGGAAAACAATAATTTGTTTTAGAGTTTGGATCCTCGATGGAGTCACTACTGCTCTCAAGGGTGCACAGTTGTCTTTTGTTTGTTTTTTGAGATGAGAAAAAACAAAAATCTTACTCTTTCTATGTGTAAAATACAGATACACATACAGTACATAAACAGACATATGGTAAATCTATGGTATTCACTGATTGTTAAGCACATTATTATTTATTATCCCATTTGTCCTTCAAAACACACCTAGGACTAGCTATTCCTGTTTTCATTTCACGAATGAAAAGGTAGCTTGGGGAAGCTAAATACATCAACAAATCTACTGGTTGACAGGAGAATATCACTTTTATAAATGCTAAGTTCTTATCCACCTAGGTCATTGCTTTATTTCTAGTGTTGGGAACAATGCCTGGCTCAGAGGTTTCCTGGGAAAGTTTATTGAATGGAGAATTATTGTGGGTTAGGAATAAACAGAGACGACCAGAGGCCCATGATGTACTAGATTGAAAATATTATTTTCAGAACATCTATGTTATTAGAGATGTGCATGACTTCAGAAAGGACTAATGGGTCTATGGGTAAATAGATGGATTGAATGGACACAGAGAGGGAAAAAGAAGATGAACAGTATCTGTCATTCCTTTCTGTAACAGCTAATGTGAGAATTAAATAAACAAATTTTAAAAATTAAATGCAAGTTACATGAAGAACGTTTCATTAGTAAAAACATAATACATTCACTGATGATTCTTTTACATGGTCAACTCATGCATGTTTCTCTTAAAGCAAACTGTTACCTGCCACACTGCTTAAAAGGCCAGCCTGGGATTAGAATGCTCAAGAAACAGGTAGAAATGGGATGAATAATCATTTACTAAACCTTTTATAAAAAAGTAAAAAGTAACTGAGGGGCCTCCCTGGAGGCACAGGCGGTTAAGCGCAGTGCTGGGAAGCTGTCCTCAGTCTCTGTAGCACTGTTTGGAACCTGGCCGGCTGTGGAGATACCCACATGGCATGGCAGACGTCTCCTGTCTCACCCGTTGCTTCCATCAGCAGTGTATTTCAATAAGTCTGCCTTTTCTGTTCCCTGCTCTGTCTCTGGTGACTCTTCTCATCCTCCTGCACATCTGGTCTATACCCTGGTTTTTGCATGCATGAATAAATAAATCTTTAAAAAAAAGAAAAAAGAAAAAAGTAACTGAGGAATAACTAAGAAAAGTATACATAAATATAGAATTTCAGTCATGTAAGAAATATAAACATACTTAATATCATTAAATTGGCAAATAGCTATTAAAAGAAGTTTTAAATGAACATCATTTTATTCTTCCAATTTGCTTCTTACTGTAAGATCTTGGATGGTTATATTAAAATTATTGGTCACAGATTAGTCTGTTTTACATGTAAGTGAAATATACTTAAGAATTTCAATTACATATGGAATCCTGATCCTACCACATTTCAGCTGTAGGCCCTTGAACAAGGCCTAACCTATGAGCTTCAAATTCTTGAAGGGGAAAATGAGACACTTATCTAATCAGATTAAGGTACAATCTTTTTTTTTTTTTTTTTTAAAGATTTACTTATTTATTTATTTATACAAGCACTGGGTACAGTCAGAAGTCCGGGAGGGTGAGAGAGAGTTCACCAGAGCCAGAGCGGAGAGCAGAACAGGCAGACAGACAAAGTACACTGCTGAGGGGAGCAGCGGGTGGCAGGAGAGGTCTGTGCGCCATGTGGGACCCTCGCCTGGGGGCCAGGGATCAAACAGGTGCTGCAGAGGCTGAGGGCAGCTTCGCAACCCAGTGCTCAACCGCTGCGCCACCGCGAAGGCGCTAATGTACAACCTTAATTAAAGTATAAATTACTCATTTATAAGGAGTAATGAGAAGATATACATAAACTACCTGGCATAGAATGGACACCAAGTAAATTAGTTCTCTTCTTCAGAGAAACACAGATAATTTAAACTCTATAAAATTCAGTGATTGGAAGTTTTCCCTCTCTCCATTGTTTTATTTTTTTATTTTTTATTTATTTATTTATTTATTTATTTATTTGTTTGTTCGTTTGTTTCGTTTATACATGCACTGGGTACAGTCAGAAGCACGGGAGGGTGAGAGAATTCACCAGAGCCAGAGCAGGGAGCAGAGCAGGCAGAAGGACCGAAGTGCACTGCTGAGGGGAGCAGCGGGCGGCAGGAGAGGTCTGCGCACCATGTGGGACCCTCCTCTGGTGGCCGGGGAGCAGCCGGGAATCGAACCGGCGCTGCAGAGGCTGCGGGCAGCTTCGCAACCCAGCGCTCAACCGCTGCGCCACCGGGGAGGCCCCTCTCCATTGTTTTAAGTTGAGACTTTAATGATAATGATAAGATGGGAAGAATTATGAAGTACATTTTATTTTATCCTTAGTCTGCCAACACTCTTAGCTCATATACACATACCAAGTAACATTTACGTGTATATATATTATATATGCCAAGTTATATATGTATGAAAACAAAATATTTTATTTATAATTTGTTTTTCCTAATTTTATTGATTCTTTTTAAAATAAAATTCTTCGACTAATAAATAATATGTGTTTAAATTATATTTGCATCATATATTTAAACTATGCTATATAGTCTATACTGCTATCAGAGATCAATACAGAAGCCTATCAATTATTGATTCAGATATAATCTATATTAGGGTAAACATTATTTGAGTGTTAAACTTTTGAAGACTTTGTGTTTCTGGACACAAGAACCTAAGTACATTTTGTAGAAATATTGTGGCTCATCCATTATTACATATTTTGTTACTGGCCAATGACTCACATTTGTTTTATCCTTGGTCCTAAAAAAAGATGAGTTTTCTCCGGATGTGTGTGTGTGTGTGTGTGTGTATGTGTGTGTGTGTGTAAAAGAGACTTCAGAGCCAGACAAGCACAAATTTCTATAGAACACTTAATATTAACAAACTAATTAGTAAGTTACTTCACAAACTGATTAGGAACTTCCTTGTCTCTAAAATGTAATAGTTTTTGCGAAATGAAAATTAAGATAATTGACATAATGGGTTCACATCAGTGAATTAAGAAAATACTTGACATATTTATAATTATTTTTTGTAGCTTAGATCTGTCACTAGTTCATTCAAATTGACCTGTGAAACAAAACTGTGATTCTTCACTTACTTCAAGCCAACTAAGCGACTAACAGGGGCAAGGAACTACAGGTCGGTACAGTACAATACTTTTAAAGAACATACCATAGCCCACCGTAGAAAGACCCAGGTGTTTCATTCTATTTTTCACAAGTTCAGCAAGCTCTTGTCTTTCAGACCTCCTGTAGAGGTTCAGTCGCTGCTGGGTTATTTTCTCAGCTGTTTTGCCAGAGTGCTTTGGACCTTTTCTGCTCAGTCTTCGGGCCCATTGCATACTCTTTCTCCTCAGTAAGGGATGGTCTGACTGGTCACTGGATGTTGAGTTGCGGTGGTGGTTGCTTCGGTGATGACCTTGCTCTTTGGAGTCTTTTGTGTCTTCCCACTCTTCTACACTGATAGATATTTGAGACTTTAAAGGAAATGGATATTTATAATTAGTTATTTAGGAATAATTGTTTTCTGGAGTTAACTAGTCTAGTATTTGTTTGCAAATATCTTGTTACAATTATGTATCTACTCATGAGAGTTTTCACAGAAAGAGCAAAATCATAATCATTGATACTAATTTTCCGTTTTAAAAAATGTTAGAAAATATTTTTGAAGTTATATATCAACCAGATAAAATATCTTCGCTTTTCCAATATAAGTTCTTATGAAAGGATTTAATTTTTATGCATCAGAATTATCATGAATGACTACTAGCTTGAGTAGTTTGAAACCACAAACAACCTAAAAACTAGATACCATATAACTATACTCAAATAAAGTCCATATAATGGACTTTTCTAAATCTACACGTGCCGTACATGAAATTTAAATTAAAATTATGAAGATTTCTTAATTTTGGAATTAATAATATTTTAAAGGTTTTAAAATTATTGCTCTTTCTAAGGACAGCATTAGAAAGAACTTCATATAATGTGAATTTATTCCCTGATGATCCAGAAGAAAACAAAATAATTTTAAATTCATGCCATTATTTATTCATCATATAAAATACTTTCTGATTAAAATATCACAATATATTATAGAAACTGATCTTTGTATTATAGGTGAAAAAATATGTAATAAAATACTAATGTTTTGCTAATGTATTCCAAAACCACAAATAAAACTTAAATCAGGCTTACTTCCATAGGAGGGAAAAACAATGAACAAACTCATAAAGTCTATGTTGATGTACACTTTTACTATTATATCTGATTTTAAAGTAAGCTCTTCTTGATTTTTAGGTCTTTGATAAATAAAAGCTTTATGTGTCAAATATGTTGCTTTTCATACCAAGAAGCCATATGAAATGCAACACTGATCAAAGCAGAAAGTTTTACTTTCTAGAAGTATGTGCATGCAAATGAACAGCTTCCTGAAAGTCACCCTACATAAGAAGCATTCATAAATCTGCTGTGTTTTCCTTCTATGGGTGAAAGTTTATGCTTCAGCTATAACATGCATATGTTGCTGGCTTTCAAAGTAACAGAATTGAAATTACCAATTTTTTCATCTTTTTTTTTTTATAGAGGCATGCTTTTTATTTATTTATTTATTTATTTGTTTGTTTGTTTGTTTCATTTTTACATGCTCTGGGTACAGTCAGAAGCTCAGGAGGGTGAGAGAATTCACCAGAGCCAGACCGGAGAGCAGAGCAGGCAGAAGGACCGAGGTACACTGCTGAGGGGAGCAGCGGGCGGCAGGAGAGGTTTGCGCGCCATGTGGGACCCTCCTCCAGTGGCCGGGAGGCCGCGGGCAGCTTCACAACCCAGCGCTCAACTGCTGCGCCACTGGGGAGGCCCATGAAATTACCAATTTAAGGCCAGGAGGGGGTTCCAATAAAATCCTTTAAAAGTCAATAGAAATTATGGATGCACAGTCAAAGCTTACATACAAATCCTAATGGCAATTAGGTGATAATCTCACACTTAAATTCAATAAAAATTTAACTTCATATTTGTTTCAAAACAGTACTGTACCACAGTGTTATAAAATAATTTCTTTGACCTTCACAACTTTATTATAAGAGAATATGTGAATAAAATTTATAACCTTATTTATATCTCAGAGCTTAATCTGGAAGTTTCAAAATTTTAAATGCTATGGTTTAAATGCTATGGTGTTGCAATCATGGATATCTTTACAAATTTTAACTTACTCTAGTTTCCCCTACTTGATAATATACTGAAAATCTTCAGTAAAACTAAAACTCATAAACTCTAAAGTAATATATACCATCAGTAGAGACTATCATTCCTTAGTCAGTAGTTTGAGGTTATAGGTACTTGATAGCAAAACTGAAAACATGTTGGTTCATTCACATTTAGACACTTGCTGAGTTTTGTGAATCATAAAATCATACCCAAAGTGAAGCTTTCTTGGTAAACATTTAGTAAATCCCAAATGAATCAATATATTGGAACTAAAATAAAAATATTTTTTAGAAGTGGGCCTCCCCTGGTGGCGCAGCAGTTGAGAGCTGGGTTGCGAAGCTGCTCGCAGCCTCTGCAGCGCCAGTTCAATCCCGGCCGCTGGGCAAGGGTCCCACATGGCGCGACAGACCTCTCCTGCCATGCCCGCTGCTCCCCTCAGCAGTGTATTTCGTCACTCTGCCTGTTCTGTTCCCTGCTTTGGCTCTGGTGAATTCTCTCACCCTCCTGCATGTCTGACTGTACCCAGTGCTTGTACAAATAAATAAATAAATCTTAAAAAAAAAAGTTCCTTTAAACATTTTTTTAAAAATTTGAAAAGTAATAAAATGACAGATTATAAACCTTAAATAAATAATTTAAGATGTTCAAATTTATTTAATAAACAGAATTTGAAATTATTAAATGGATTCAGGACTATGATATAGGGAAAACAACAGCTGTTATATCAAACAATTTGGATATTATGATAATATAGATCTTTTCTCCAAAATTCAGCAACATCAAACATAGACTTTTAGTTGGTACTTAAGTTGGACTTCATTTGTTATTTTTCACATACAAGTTTTACTCTTGATGACTACATTTTACCATTACTTTGATATCTGAAATGCAATTTTTAAGTTGAAAGTGTTTATATTATAATGATTTCAGTAATTATATTAATCTTGGGAGTTTGTGTTAAGCACTAAAACATAATGACAATTACTACAGTTTAAATGAAGAAAATGGCAAATAAAATTAAAAATCCAAATCAGCTGAAAATAACATCCAAGTTTTAGGAATATACTTAATGTCTGCATACATACATAATAAATAAGAACTAAAGGGTATGTTTCATATCATATGATCCCCATTATTTCCTTTTGTGAAGGTGGCTACCTCACTTAAGGACAAACAGTCCATCACCATTAAGTGGCTATCGGTACGGAGACCCACACAGTAAAACATGTGATTTCTGAATTACTATATTAATATGATTTGAGGACAAACAGGTAAAACAAATTTGTAATCCGATCAGGAAATATAAATATATTAAGTTGAAAATAGAGAATATTTATATATATTTCATCTTCATTAATTTGCTTTATTTTAAAATCTGAAAAATTAAATTAAATCTTAATATTCCTTTCCTTCAACAGCTTTGAAGTCATGTATTAAACCATTTGAGGAATGGGAGACAAACGAAATACTTACTTGTGATGCTATTTCTCGAAACTGACACAAAGAGAGGGAAAAAGAAACATACAAAATACAGTTTAAATAATGACTAAACAATACATACATGAAACAATATGTAATGAGAACAAAATATGACAGAACTAAGTAGCATTAATATACTGTGTTTGATTGTTTATCCTAGAACTTTTGAATAAAATTTGGTAAAGCATAAGCTATTATTTTAAAAGTTTACCAGAGAGTTGTTCATGTTAGGCAGTTTGTTTGGGTCTTTTTTTTTTTTTTCTAAAATTTTCTTTTTAAGGGTTGAAAAAAGTAAAAGAGGCATAGAAGAAAATGAAGCAGTTTGCAGAAGATGATGAAAAATAATATATTCATAAGATAATAGCTGACATAATATCAATAATCATTGTTATTCAATATCTGTACTATTCAGTATTTGTACTATTCAATACCTGTACTATTGAACTGAGGCTACCAAAAGAGAGGGTGGGGGGAAGGCACTGAGCCTACCAAAAGAAGCGGGTGGGCTCAATGAACTAAGTGGAGGTTTAGTTGGGCTTTGGTTGTGGCACATTATAGAGGTGTGAGCCTATACTCAACGCTCACAGCGCTGTAAGCCAATGTTACCTCAATAAATAGAATTTAAAATTTAAAAATTTAAAATGAATATACACATTTTCCCATGTAATTCATTAAATGTCTTTCCAATTTAAAAAAAATCTAACTTTTTTAAAGATTTATTTATTTATTTATACAAGCACTGGATACAGTCAGAATGGCGGGAGGGTGAAAGAATTCACCAGAGCCAGAGCAGGGAACAGAACAGGCAGACCGACGAAGTACACTGCTGAGGGGAGCAGTGGGCGTGGCAGGAGAGGTCTGCGTGCCATTTGGGACCCTCACTGGTGGCCAGGGATCGAACCGGTGCTGCAGAGGTTGTGGGCAGCTTTGCAGCCCTGCACTCAACCACTGCGCCACCAGGGAAGACCCCCCAAAAAAAAACAAAAAAAAACTAACGTGTTAAAAATTAGATCTTACAATAAATTATTTCCTCATACTTACATATTTAACTAAACAAACATTCAATTTCATCAAACTTACAGAAATATTATATTTTTTCATATTGATTATAGAATCTAGAAGTTCATTTGCCCAGTCATGACACTGTGGTGTGGTGACAACACCTGAAGGGAGGCCTCATGCTTCTAAAACACAACCAACATTGTTTTCCAATGTTACCTCAATTAAAAAAATCATGCTGGGCCTCCCTGGTGCTGCAAGGCATTAAGACGCAACCTGTGAAGCTATCTGCAGCCACTGCAGCACGAGTTCAATCCCTGGCCAGAGAGCAACCCACATGGCACAGCACAGACATCTCCTGTCTCTCCCACTGCTCCCTTCAGCAGTGTACTTCAATCAATTTGCTGTTCTGTTTCCCACTCTGTCTCTGGTGAATCTTCTCACCCCGCACACCTCTGGCCTGTACCCCAGCTCTTGTATGCATAAAAAAAAATATTAAAGAAATCATACCAACTTATTTTTTCAGTTCTAAGGATTAATATTCTATTAATTTTTTCAATAGGGTGATGTAAAATTTTCAATTATTTTCTTTAATATAACCCAAATCTAACTCATTACCTAAAGGGAATGTTTTATATTGTAGAAACATAAAATATAATTTTATATGTTTTCTATTTTATATGTATTTATTATACAAATATAAAAATACGTATAATAAACATTTTATTACAGACCCTTTGAAACTGTCTCAAAATTCCAAACATGCTTCCCAATGAAATAAACATTGAAAATGGGCAGCTAGAGTTTCTAAATTATTCTAAATTATTATTAAATTCATTTTATTACTAACATTTTATAAAAGCTAATCTGCTTATTATACATAAAATATATATGTATACATAATACATATAAAATTTTACTTTCCAATTTAATAGTAAAGAGTTAATGATTAGTAATTCAGTAATCATCCATTATATACATTTATTAAACCTATAGGATATATTTACTGTGAAGGTGACCAACAATCAGAGTAACATATTCCATAAATTCATTCTCTGTACTTCAAAGATGCTGGTATTTAGTATGCTACAAAATAATCTGTTTCAAGTTTCTAATTAAATTGTTCACTGTCTATATTATATATCAAGCAAAAATGATTTTCATTGAATTTATAAACTGGAAACAAAGGAAGTTCCACACTTTCTACTAAAAAAAAAAGGAATAAATGCTTATTAATTTAGAATTCTTCATATTGGGGGGAGGTAGTACTACATAATATACTTTTTTCTGCCATGTAAAGTATGACTATTCACTTTAAATGGAAGAAGTAGGGCCTCCCTGGTGGCGCAGCGGTTGAGCGCTGGGCTGCGAAGCTGCCTGCAGCCTCTGCAGCAACAGTTCGATCCCCAGCCACAGGCAAGGGTCCCACATGGCACGCAGACCTCTCCTGCCGCGCCTGCTGCTCCCCTCAGCAGTGTACCCCGTTAGTCTGCCTGTTCTGCTCTCCATTCTGGCTCTGGTGAATTCTCTCACCCTCCCATACTTCTGACTGTACCCAGTGCTTGTATAAATAAATAAAAAATGTTAAAAAAAATGGAAGTAGTAAATATTATACATAATCTTACAATAACTGAAGTGATGTTTTGCTACCAATGAATTTAGAAAACTTGGAACTGTGGATAAAGGATATTCCTGCAGACAGAAATATCATCCTCATGTGTCCCCTAGAGGAGCAGGTTAGGGTTTATAAGCATTTTACTGAAGTATCTTTATTGTGATGTGAAAATTTGACAAAAACGTAATGTTAAATGTTCTTTGACAGCAATACAAATACTACCAACAGTGTAAACAGCATGGAACAAAGTCATTCACATGCAAAATAATTCACAAGGACTTGGAATTGACCAAGGACAGAATTTACTATGTTGAAATTCACAAAGCCTGTATAAGAACATAATACTCCACTGTATGGAAATTTCCTTCATACTTACCAAGTTCAAATAAGACACTGTTACTTGGTTAGGGATGAAACTATTTCTCTTTATCTTTAATCAACAATATTTTTAGATCCAATATTCTTAAAATTTTAAGCATATCTGGCTGGCCTATCTTACATATTTAAACTGACTTATGCTTAACTGTGAGGCATTCCTGATTTGGACTTTTGCTTTGTAGTGGGAACCACAGGATCCACAGCCAATAACAATTGTAATTGAGGAGCAGAAATGGCAATATAGTTCCTTTTAGTACTCCCGAAACTGTAGTGAAACCATCAACAAACACCTCAAAAAACTAGAAGTATATCCCACAGTCCTATATATCACTTATTTAAATATGAAACTACTAATTTTAACAAGAAAACAAAAATCTACTCAATTGCTTTTATGTGCCTTGGCAGATTTTTGTTTTGTTACATGGATTGAGTGATTTTATCACACACTGGTTTACCAATTATATGGACTACTAAAATTCATATAAAAATTGATCTGAGTCTCACAGCTGATAAGAAATTTTCTTCTTTGCGTACGAAAATAAAATGAATGGCTAAACAAAATAACAAAAATTTCTAATACATTTAAGTTTGTGAAGAAAAAATATTTCAAGAATATAAGACATAATTTATATGAAATAACTTTGTTAGATGCTGATAGGGTCATGCATTTCTGCAAAAATTTTATTTCACAAAGGAATCTAATTTAAAAGATGCTGTTTTACTAAAGGATATAAAAACTATTTAAAACCATGTAACATGAGTAGATCAAAATGTGGTACTATCAAGAATTGCAGCCATCAGGAATTCTGTTTCATATTAATGAACTCTAGTTTTTCAAAATTAGTGAACTATCTCTGGAAAAGTCTGGCAATTTTGCTGGGTTTCATCTCCTGCCTGCAGAGTACTATTTAATCTAGAGTTTTAGAAAAATGAGTTTCAGTGCTTATTAATTTTTCTTTGTTTTGCTTTCTTCCAAATGTTAATATATAACAAGTTAAGGAGTTTATTAGAAAGTTAGATTGCTTGTCCTGAACGCCTCTTCTGTGTGAGAGGATTACTTAGAATTAGCTTGTTTCCCAACAATCCTCTAGAAATGAAAAATGTTAGATCTACAAAGGCATTCAGAGCCAAAGTCTACAAATTAGAACAATACATTAGGCAGCAATATTTTATTAAACACAGTCATAGTTTCCTAAAACAAACAGCTGATAGATTTTTACTTCTGAGAATGGACATTATGTACTGTTTTGGACATTACTGAATGGACATGTTCTGAATGAACATTATGTATAGTTATTAACTTTTTATGGCATTTTCCAGAAATCAGCTTCCAAGATTAGGAATGGCAGTCTTCAAGCATATTAAACACTAAAATATGAATATCTTGATATTTCCAAACCTCAGATGTAGCAAGTTTCTGAGATTCAGTTCTGTAGATTCCAATGGGCACATCTCCAGTAGAAGAACACAACTTCTGATAAAGTCTGGCATAAGTTCTGATCCATAGGTCATCCTCGGTGATTTTCATCTATAACAAGTATGAGAATTATCTACATGTCTTAAGAAGTAAAAACCCAATGATTATTTTCTTCTACTTGAAGGCAGAATTCATTAATAATTTAAAATCTCAAAGTTGCATTTTATAAGGGCTTGCATTCAACCTCAGGCATATCCTTGGGATTCACCCAAATTTAAAAAAAAAAAAACTGCATAATTTTTGGCAACATAGTATTGTCTTAGTTCAATATCCATAGGCAAGAGTTATTGGTAACTGACTGGGAGATTTGGAAAATGTGGAGACTTTTTTGAATGTTCCAGCAACTAAAGGCTGCTACCAAATTCAGTGGACAGGGTAAGCCAAAGTAAGTATCTTAAAGTACATAGGACCCTCCAGCAAAACAAAAACTGCCCCATCAAAAGTGCTAATTACACCAATACTGAGAAAGTGGAGCAAAAGGCACAGGGCTAAAAACAGGAGGCATAAATTCTAGTCTCTTTTTGCTAATTACAAGTTTGAATTGTTAGCCAGTCATTTCAAAAAATACATCTGGACATAGTATGATCATATATAAAACAAAGGGATTAAATTACATGATCACTTTTTTAAAAAAAGATTTATTTTATTTATACAAGAGCTAGGGTACAGGCCAGATGCATGGGAGGGTGAGAGGATTCACCAGAGACAGAGTGGCGAGCAGAACAGGCAGACAGACCAAAATACACTGCTGAAGGGAGCAGCGGGCGAGACAGGAGAGGTCTGCCGTGCAATGTGGGTTGCTCGGAGGCGGCGGGGATCGAACTGGCACTGCAGAGGCTGCTGACAGCTTCACAGCGCTGTGCTCAGTTGCCTGTGCCACCAGGGAGGCCCAGATCACTTTTTTTTTTTTTTTTTTTTTGCATTATGGCATCCTATATCAGAAACTATCAGTCTCAAAATGCCAGGTTTAAAAAAGAAATTGATTTTTGTGTGGAGTGACTTTTTTATCATGATTATTCACTTAACATAGTATGTTTTCCCTAAAAATATTAAAGGAAAAAATGATGATGCTATTCTTGGATCAGTACACACATGTACGTGTGCACCCACCCATCCACCCACACATATACACATACACATTAGATATATATGACCCAAAAGAGTTAACTAAAGTACATTAGAGACAGATATCCTAAGAGTCCATCAGGGGACAATCTTCCATTCCAGAGTTTAACTTACAGAACAAAGAAACCCTGATCCTGGTGTAGTGTCTAAACCCAAGAGAAGTCTGGTGATAGAAATCATGTAATCCTTCACAAAGCACTGCAATACAAACAAAATATGTATTTATTATGAGTACAATAGCCAGGGAGGTAAACATTTTAGGTAAACATTCCATATGGTAGTGATAATCATAGATTACTTCTCCTAATACATCATTAAGACTTTATGAAAAAGAAAATAATTTTTTTAAAAGAAAAGAATAATAAAAGGACCTTCTACTCTTATTAAAATATAAAATGTATTGTAGAATATTGAACTGGGACATTTCTCATATTTTAAAAGAGAAATGAAAATCTATCTTTTCATTTCTAATACTCAAGCATAGTTAACCTGTCTATAGTGATATATAGAAAATAATTACTCTCTAGAATATCTGATATGCTTACATTTTTAAATATTTATTTATTTATTTATTTGTTTGTTTGTTTGTTTATTTATGTGTAAAGGAATAAAAAGAATTGGTGAGGGGCATGAAAGGATTCACCAGAGACAGAGTGGGAAGCAGAACAGGCAGATTCACTAAAATACACTGTTAAGGGGAGCAGCAGGCGAGAGAGGAGAGGTCTGTTGCACCATATGTGAGTTAGCTCCTTGGCCGGGAATGTAATGCAGGTAGTGATGGTGATAAGTCCTCAGACTCCACCCCCATTGATAGGTTTATATTTTATGCATATTATTAGATGTGATAAGAGCTATGAGCTAAAATAAAATAGAGAATCAAAAAACCAATGCATGAACTAAAGTTTGCAATGTAATATTTTATTTTGGGGGTTTAATCTCTATGCTAGTGAAATAAATTTCTAATATTTGAAGTTAATAAAATGTGAATGAAGTAATAGTTTATTAATAAATTTTATCCAACTACTTGTGTGCTAACAAATTAGATATATTTTGTTATGTATCATAACCATTACTCAATAGTTAACAATGTTTCTAATTTCTTATAATTTTTAAATTCTGAGTGAAAACAATTTCATCTGATGCAAGGAAATTTCACCGTGGCAATTGTTACATTATTTGATAAATTTTATGAAATGACTTCCTTGAATTTGATCTTCAAGTGTTAAAGAGTTAAAAACTTAACCAATATTTGTTTTGCATAGGAAAGACTTTTAAAATATCTTTCATATAAATCTACTATACTTGTTAATTGCTACTTGAGCTCACAAACAGCTAGGTTCAGAAAGCAAAACCCTCCCATCTAAAGAAGAACAGAAGAAAACACACCCAATCCTCATTTCAGACCAAAGAAATCTCATTTTAAATTTCAAGATGTATCAATGTAGAAGTTAATATGGGAACACTGGGGGGGGGGGAATGAGTTGTGACATGCCTTTAGGAAGGGGAGAGGAAGGACTAGGGTCAAAATAAGGGGGGGTGCAATTGTCTGGGGGAATATAACCAAAATAAAAATGCATACATTGTGCAAAAATGAAAAATGATGTAAGAATTATATAAAATAAAATTAATTAAATGATTAAAAAAAGAGAACATCTCTCAACTTCATTTGTAGTTCAGTGTGTACTAAAAAAGGAAGAGTTTTACAACAAAATTTCAGACACTTAAAAAACTATTATTTTTCATGATGAATAGTGGAAAGTACTCATGGAAGGGAAAAACGAAGATTTGGCAGAGAACTGTTTTAAATTATTTTAAAGCCAGATACGGCAACGCAGCTCATTTAGTGTTTGTCACTAATAAATTCCTTGTCCTGAAAACACCTGCCTGGTAACTTCATCAGGGCATAGACAAAAAAGTAGGAGTGTGACAAAAAGATGTAGACAACTCCACCTGATATCACATAATCTACGTTTTAAATCTCGGACAATTTAATCATAGAAGAATCTTTATTCAGTTTCATTTAGTGTCTATTTAATTTTATTTTAGAGGGTTCCTATTTGTTTAATAATTTGGTTTTCAAACCTTACAAAGATGAGAATAGAAATTATTAAAAAATATGAGTAAGCTGTGTTTCCAGTGGGAAAGCAAAAAGTGTCTATGGAGAAGATATAACAAAGAAAAAGAACCTTGTAATAAGTTAAAAAGCAAAAATCCCATAAGAAATTAAACCATTATATAAATGCGGGGACAACACCACAGGGATAGGGGTGGGAGTCATCTTATGAGGTATTATGGCCTGAAGATGAGCATTCACATGGATCATTGTATAATTTGTCTTTTTTTTAAAGATTTATTTATTTATGCATACAAGAGAGGGGGTACAGGCCAGAGATGCAGGGGGTGAGAGGATTCACCAAAGACAGAGTGGGAAACAAAACAGGCAGATTGACTGAAATATACTGCTGAGGGGAGCAGCAGGAGAGACAGGAGAGGTCTTCACCATGTGGGCAGCTCCCTGGCAGGCCAGGGATCGAACTCATGCTGCAGAGGCTGTGGATTGCTTCATAGCGCAGTGCGTAAGCCCTTGCACCACCAGGGAGGCCCTGGGTGATCTGTTTTATGTGAAAATTGTGACCTCATCTGTAGACTGTGGTTGATAATAATGTCTGTATCACAGTTTTCTTTGGGAAGCAAATGAATTGATTACTAGGATAGCATTATATTAATAGTCAATCTCTATGCAATGCTAGTTTAATAATAATTATAATCATTCTTAAATATATATGAGGACAGACTTAAATCATTAATCATCTATTAGCTGATATTTAGTATATTTATGAATAAAAGAATGCTCATTATATAATTTTAATATATATATATATATACACATGCATATATAATGTTTTACATTTCTAGTATTTTCTAACACATAAATGAGCATTTCTTTATCTGAAAAATGGACTGGAAAGTATCTCAGGTGATGATGGGGAAAGGAACCTAAATGATGGCTACTTTGGAAACTATTCTTCCTGTAGTAACTCCAGAAAACATTATTTCCTACATCTTTGTTTATAACAAAAACATAGGCAAAAATGAAGAGGAAGAAATAAGTACTGCCAAAAAATGTAATGGAAAAAGCAAAAAAAGTAAAAAAAAAAGTAGTTTCCATTCCTACAGAATGCTTTACCTTCCAATTAGCTTATATATTAATATTCCTCATGAATATATTTAAGCTATAGAATTATGACTATAGTATACAAATAGTATTGGATAAAGTATAGTATACTGTTTAGAATAAAAATCTGAAATATACTGGTGCAATGATATCAAGTATTTGACTGCTAGTGATGTACATTGATCAGTTTCAACATTGCTCTTCAAGCAAGACTTCTGTTCCATCCTCCATTAAGAGACTGGAAGTACATGTGTGTGGGGAAGGGTGTGAGGTAAGTCCTTCCCCCAGCAGGAAAGGACTTTGTGACCAGTGAATGTGTCTGGATATTTCAGTGGGAGCTGCAGTGTTTATTCTCCCCCGTGTTTGTTCCTGCTCATTTGGCAAACACAGATGTTCATGACATTGCTGGAGGCATACTCTTGAGCATAATTAGCCCAAAGGCCAGTAGAAAAGTTTTAACACTCTTTGGATTAGTTCATTAAGTCAAGCAAGGTAAAAGAGGGTACACAAAATATGGAATCTGAAAGGGTAAAGGCACAGCAATATGCTTTAAAGTCATCAAATTAAAGTTCTGTAAATATTTTTGGCATTGGTGGTAATCTTTAGAAATTATCTGATTACTCTAATCAATGATAGATATTTTATGGCCATTCAGTTTTTGGCAGTTTATTTCTTTCCAGTCTGTCTCCCTCAGAGGTTTTTGGCTTTTTATCTGTTTGAAGATTGAAATATATTTGTGTGAAATAACATCCATGAACTTCTCAGTTAGGATAAATTGACAGTGTTAACTTAGGCACTTTGTTGGGCACAGATTTTTGTTGCAAAATCTGTTTTACATATTTTTAAAAGTATGCAATAATTAGCAGATTCTTAAGACATCATTGGTTAATAAATTTACTGACATCAATTTTGGTATCTTTTTTTCAAACTTGAAAAAAATTCATAATTATGAATTATTTTGTTTTGCTGTTTTTTTAAGCTTGTATTAAGTCCAGTAATATCCTAGAGTAATGTGCAAAATGTACTGAAATGTCACAGATAACATTGGAGGAAACTGAATGTTTAAAATCTGTGTCACAGATTACCTGAAAAATAATGTTTTCCTTACAAAACATATTGTAGGCATATTTAAGTCATTAAACGTATGAATTAAAATACTGAATTACTTTTAAAGGTACCTCAAATTAACAAGTCCATAAGAAACACTAAACAAAACATTTATTAAATAACACCCAGATGCAATATAAACAACTTACAAAATCAAGTACTGCACACCTGATATAGAAGTGTGTCCAACATGCTGATGCTAAACACCCGCCCAGCAGCAAAAGGCAGTCGGAACATGAAGGCCAAATTGGAGCCCCTCTCTCGTTCTTTCTGTTCAGAAATTTGAGAGAGAACATTTATGAGCATTCTATATTTTGAAATTATCTTTTTAGCTGTATTTTCCTGACATATGTGACAAAGGTTATTTTCATTATATGTTTCTTTTTTTTTTTTTAATTATTTATTTATTTATTTTATTGAGGCATGTTTTATTATTTATTTATTTGTTTGTTTTTTTGTTTATACATGCACTGGGTACAGTCAGAAGCGCGGGAGGGTGAGAGAATTCACCAGAGCCAGAGCGGGGAGCAGAGCAGGCAGTATATGTTTCTTAATTTATGAATGTGTGTGTCATTATTTCACTTTACCATTAAATTTGTAATATGTTCCTTTAGTATTAATGACCATGTTTTCTTAACTAAAATACTCAATAGTTAAGACAGGTCAATTCTTTCATACATTAAACACTTTATTACTCTTCACACATATTCCTCAATAGGCATTAAGGTGATATAATAAAATGAACAAACACATCAAAGTCATTTAATTAAAGTAAAAAGAAAACCTAAAGTCATGTAACTTAACATAACACCTAAGAGATCTGTTTTTGAACATTTTTCTACATGAGGAGGAAATAAAAGGCAGGTAGGAACCATCACATCCAGGGTTTTTAGCTTCTAGTCATGTGAGTTTTCATTTCTCCAGTTGTTTTTCAAGTTGTGCCAGTCACACCAGTCTCCAGCTAAGTTTCCTTAAATGGCAACAGCAACAACAACAAAACTGTGTGCATTTGTGTATTATGGCGTTTGGGGTTTTCTTTTTTAAAAATCATGTTGTCACTATCTCCCCTTAATAAACAAAGGCATGACAGAACATATTTGTTTAAGATTAGATGGGACTTTTTTCAATTTTCTTGAAATGATATTGCATTATAACTTTGTAGATTTAAGCTGTGCATCACTGTAAGTTCACATGTGTACATAATACATTATGTTCCTCACTAAAGTACAGTTTCATCCTTCACCATACAATTGTCCTTTTACTCAATTTACCATCCCCTAAAAGGAATTTTTAATCATGAAGTTCACATTGTACTTAAATGACAACCTCAAAAATGCTGGTTTATTTTGTTGCCAACTTTCCTTTATTAGGAGAAAGATACAGTTAAGCAAATTGAAAAATGATCAGCTCTCACCTTTTGAGACAATGAGAATAAAATCCTATTTCAAAAGCAGTAATTTTGGCGATTCTCAAAGAAAAGAAGTTATTCCACCATATTCACCATGCCTTTTCAGGTTGAAAAGGCTTTCCAGACTAAAAAATAGCCTCACTTGAGGACTAGCGTGCCAGTAAAGAAAGGGCAGTTAAGTGTTACCCCAGTTTTGATCTATGAACATTACATCATAATACATTTTCTAATTTATTAGCCTAGATATCAAGCCCATAAATCTTCTAACATACTCCTTAAATGATTGGTCTGGGTGGTTTGGAGATTATGGCATCAGCCGTGTGCCTAGTTGGTTTAAGTTATATATAATGATGGCATTAAGGATAGACACTTTCAAGGAACTCTTCTACAATTTCTGTCATATAGAAAGGTTTTTAAGATTAAGTCACAAATAGGTATTAATTCCCCTGGCACACCAAATTCAGACTGCTCCCATTGCAGACACCAGGTTAAGTCCCTGGTGCCCCTAAGCCAATAGCACTTCTGTCCACCCAGTTACAAATTTGGGGTTTCCTAGAACCCCCTCAGGTCTGATAATTTGCTAGAATTATCATGGAACTCACTAAAGTATTACACTTAGTAATTGTCATTTACTTATAAGGATACAAGTGTTTAGCACATGAAAGGCCTAAGGCAGGTCTGGAGGCTCCAGAGTATGGGCCCTGGCCCCAGGGATCACGGTGTGCAATATTCCTGGTCCTTCAGTATTTCTGCCAATAAGGAAGCTCTCAAACCTTGTTAGGTAGATATGTATGGATAGGTAAGTATGATCAAATAAATCATTAAGTATATGATTAAACTCAATACCCTGTCCTCTCTACTCCTCAAATCATGTAAATACTTTCTCTGATGACGAAAGCAGCTTCATCCTGAACCTGTTAAGGATCAGTCTCCTCCATTAGTTGCTTGTTAGAACAGCTATTCCTGTAACTCAAGAAATTCGAAGGGTATTTGAAGTTCTGTGTCAGGACAAAGACTAGGGAAAAGACTAAATATATTTACTTACTTATTATACCATACTGTTCATCTCACATTTTCATTACTTTGCTTCTTACATCAGTGTGTAATTACCATATGATTGCTAAAGTGTAATCATGATCATCATTGGAGAGTGGTGATAGTTCAAAGGAAATTGAAAGGAAGTGTTCTTGAAGCAAATTGTGCCAAAAGCATGAATGAGAAGATTTTTTAAAATGAGACACATCAAAACAAGAGTAACAAAATAAGTTCTTAGAGGGAGTTGAAATGAGATGTGATTTTTTTTTTTATTGTTTCCTCTGTTCCCTTTTGTTGTTACCTGTTATCTACTCTCCATCTCTGGTCAGCTTTTCTGCTGTGTTTCTGTTGACTGCTATATTATTTCATTAGGAGTGTCAATGGCCAACTGGACCAAAAAGTAAACATACGGTGTTTTGAAGGAAAACAGTGACAGTGATGGGAACATTCAAGAAGGATTATATAAGACAAAATAAAACAGCAACAAAAATGGACAACACAAAGGATAGGGCCAATGAAAATGCTAGATCAGATGTTCAGGACATATTTTGCTAGACTTTCAAATTTGAAGAATGTGTCATTTACTACATGTGTCAGGGAATCTTAACTGTCCACAAAAGCCAACACCCTGTTCTTCCTAGGCACATGACTGAACACCATTTCTGAAGTTAGGCGTAGTCATATGAGTAAGATCAACCAAGGCTAAAGAATTAATGTCTTGTGCCATTGCCAGATCTGGTCCAAAAAATCTTCAATGTTTAATATTGGTTGGGTATACTGTTACCTGCTGCATTTTGTTGGATATTAAAAGATAGCTACTCAGGTAAGAATTAGTTTCAATAGAATTTGCAGGAAGTAGAAAGTTCAAAGACTAAAAGCCTTCAGATTTAAAAAGAATCTGTTTCCTGATGCCAACAGAACATGTCATAAAACTGAACAAAACATGAAAAAACAAAGTCCAACCAAATTTTCTTGTCACAATAATTTCAAGGTACTTCCATGAAAATAACAGAGAAATGCATGGATTGAGGAAGCAAAGAAATAAGGAACTTAAGTATTATATTTAAGAAAGAACTTTAAGTATACTTCTGGTGACAGTTTGAAGGGAAGCATGTTAACCTATTGAAATTTATCAAATTTTTTTTCAAATAATTCCCCAAGAAATTTATCAAATTTTTGAGAGAAATTAGCAATGTAGTCTGAAAAGGCTTTAGATTTCAATTATAATTGAAAAAGTTTCCATAAGCTTAAAAAATGTTTAGATATTGTCAAACTAGAATAACCAAGATGCAGGATGCAAACATTGCAGAGACTGTAAGTAGTATGTAGTTCTTAAGTGACATGAATAATAGTGAAGAAGGAAGAACTTGAGGTAAGAGACAAATTTACACAAAACAATGGCAAAGGGATTCCAGAAGACAGCAAATTTAAACAAATATTTAAGGATTTTCCTCTTCACAAGAGCTGAGAGGGGTTTTCACAATTATTGTTTATATCATTATTATAGGACCAGTGAAACTTCTGTGTGTTTAGTTCTTTTCTTTACCTCCTGGAAGCTACTGTGGCGATATTCTTCAGTGAATGCCCTTTCACAGAGAACAGTATCACTCCTGTTACTGATAGAAACCACCTATCAGAATAGAAGGTCTATTACCAGACAAACATCAAAATGTAATCCTCATATATGTGAAGTCTCCAGGGCAAAACCATTCAAAGTTCTCTACTCATTGTTATAGATTCTATCTCTGAGTTTGAATGACAACTACTAACTGGTAGAAAAGTGTGCTCAGCACTTTGAAGCTGATGTGTTTTTCTGATTTTAAACCTTGATTGTGTTTCTAAAGGTAAAGGTCCCATGTGTGAAAGTGCAGGTGCACCTAATTGTAGGACAAATAAAATATGATATTCATAGTTATGTTGGAAGAATAAAAACCCATCTTTTCCCCCATCAACGATAACTAGAAAATATTACTGGGCATTCACTTAAATATTAGAAATAAAGATCAGTTTACTAAGCTTAAATTTTTTCTTATATGCAGAATACAAATACAGAAACCCAACAATCACTTCAAATAGTAAGCTAGCTATATTTCCATACCAATCAATATCATGGCCAATCTGCTGTAAGCAGAAACAGTGGACATATTTACCTATCTTTTGAGCTTGTTTTGAGTTTTCACAAAAGCAACAGGGCTTCATGACCTACTATGAGACATACAAGCCTGCATGTAGAGATAGAATTGACCTCAGTTTTCACTCTCAGAATCATGAGATTGCTAACAAGGAATTAAAAAGGTTGGAAAAGGAAACCCCCAGAGGACATTCAGAAGAAAGGAATGGAATGGATTCACCATGAAAATTCAGTCATTTGCAAAAGATCTCTCCTTATATTGGTTAATTTGTAACTATCCAATGGACTCTAGCCACTTCTATATTCCTCTGTCCATAGATAACTTCTTAGTCAACAAAATTTGAATCCACTCTTCCTAAATGTGCCTCCCAGAAACTAAAACAAACTCCTTTCCTTTCTTCTGTGGCAAAGACAGATTTGACTTTTAACTATGCTTTTCTTATCAGTCAACTAATAAACTGTCCTCTTGCAAAATTCTGGTGTCATAAAATTGGCATTCTGCACATATGGCTGTGAGCCCCTTGACTCAGTTTAAAGTGAGTGGCTTAAAGAACAGAAATGTAGAAGTCTAATATCAGGGGTCAGGAGGATTGGTTCCTTCTGAGGACTGTAAGTGAAGTATCTGCTGTTCTCTTTTTGGGCAGAAAGCAGGATGGCATCCTGTCTCTCTGGGACTTTAACCTAGGTGGTGTGCTCAAGTTCTAACTTATTGATTGTTGCAAAAATGCAACAATACTTATTTTTCCTTTGGATAAAGATATTTAACGTGTGTAAGTGCTATTCTCTGCCTGCCTATATAAAAAATGTGAGATATAGTTCTGTCTTTACACTCTCTTAAGTGGACTAATATAGACATCACAGTCTGACTTAATACTTATTTAAAAAAATCTACATTAGTGGAGAGGATTTCTAAGTTGGTAAAGGATTTATTTTTAATAATTCCTTAACAAAAATCAAAACCTCCTTTTGTTCTTCTCTCTCCCTAATGCAACAGACATACTCATTAATCCTGAAAGTATCTTCCATAATGATGACCTTGCTACATCAATTGACTTGGGATAAAATTGAATACACACAATGGAATATTAATTAATTGAAATGTTACTAATAATAATGTATAATTATGCTTTTAGTACCATTTATTTAATTACTGATTGTATGCCAAAATTGGACTAAATGTCTTACTTAGACCATATGCTGTTATCATTGCAATGACCCTATTATTTAGGTGTTACTACTATTTTCTATATAAGTATCCTAAGGCTATGAATGTCTAAGTAATTTATCTAAGTTTCATTCCTAGAAGTAGAGAAATGGACCAACTTGACTCCAGAACCTATCTTCTTTATTGCTGGGGGATTTTACACCACTTGTCATGAAGCACACCAACTACATCATGCCAACACTTATTCTAGCTGATTGCTAGTTATTGGGTTTGCTTGTGTATGCTAGGTCGATTTAACAATGCTTGTCACCCTTTCTATATTATTAAAGAGGTGTGGCATCATGGAACTTAACTGCCCTGGCATTATAACTAAGTTTCTCTTTCTGAATTGACTTAATAGCTATATATTCTTGAAAAAACTATACAACTTGTCTTATACTAGTTTCCTCAACTGGAAGTAGGGCACAGCAATACTTAAACATGTGTATAAATGAGCAGTAGAAAGGATCAACTAGTATAATGTATGTGACACATTTTGAAGATGGAAATCAAAAGGAATGCAGAAATGACTTCACTCAACAATAAATTTCTCAGGGACCAGGACTGTATCTGGCATAAGTAACCAAAATAAAAGCAAGGAAAGAAAAAACTGATAAAAAGTGTAAGGCAACTTATCTTTATCTCTCATATTATTATGAACAAAAAAAAATGGCCTATTAACATATTTTTAGATGTATAAGACTGAGTCTCTCTCAATCTTACATCAAATTCTCCCAGTATACTAGTAGCAAGCAAACACTGAATTCATTTATCCCTACCCTCAGCCTGGACACAAACCATTTGTTCACATTACATGACCGCAATCCCACTGTTAGAATTATCCAGATCCTTTTTCAATCCTAATCAAGTTCTCCCTTTTAAAGACCCACATTAAATGAAATTCCAATTCTTAATAAAATGTGACCTCGCCACCCCTACCTCCTTACTCTGAGGCATTGCCAAAACTGTCTTAAATTGACAGTATCTCTTACCTAAGTAAGCAATAACTTGGCTTTGCCTGAGGTTATGTTGGTGACATTTGGGAAACTCACTTTCAACAAAATTTACAACTTTTCTAATGTCTTAAGAAGTTTGAAAACTACAAAACCTTATAACTTTCTTGACACAGCAAATCATTTGTGATATTATAGATATAATTTATATTTTAAATGGCCACACAATTCCTTCATAAAACATGTCATCAATTAATGATTAGTGGTAAATCTATCATGGATTTAAATCAAATCTCTCAATGCACATTTTTTAAATTACAAGATTTTAGCACAAAAATAGTTCAAAAAGCATTTTTATTTTTTATGTTTGATATCTTATGGTTTTCCTTCTATACAGAGACATTTCTAGTTATTCTTTTTACCAACACAGTCAAATCCAGTTTATTTAATAATGTGGAGTCTTACCTTTTCCAGTTTTGAAAGAGCAAGAGAATAACAGTCTTTGGCTCTGAATTGCATGAATCTCATGTTGGCTGGGTGTGTAAGCTCAGTGATAATACTGAGACTGGAAAACAACCTACATTTAAAAAAAAAATTTGCATTTCATTAACAACCCAACATGGTATTCTTTATAGCAACATATTTATGAGTGAGTGATTCCTTGCCCTAGGCATGAATTGACATGCAATTACAAGAGCAGGTGGTATCACATAAAATGTTCTATAAAATGTTAGAAAAACACTTCTAAGAAAATATTTAAAAAACATTTTAGCACAATAAGAAAAATGAATGAAATCATTTGGCTTCTATTAGGCACTTTCTCCCAGCATAGAAGAGAAACTTATACAGCTGATTTAAGAATTTAGAATGTTGCTTTGTAGAAAATATTGAAATGGAAAATTCAAGAAGAACATGCTGATTGACAAAAATTTTGCCTGATGAGCTTATTGTCCATAATGGGAGTTCTTTGATCTCTATGGCTCCCTATTTTCATAGTATGGAATTTCAAATGTCAAATTTTGCCATAATGAACTTCTCAGAGGAGAAAATATTTTTTACTGAAATAGCATTTCTTTGTAATATATTCAGACCAAGGTTCAGTTGATAATGTTCTAAAAGGATCCTGAGAATTTTCACATGTTGTAGCTCTGCATTAGCTTTTTCCTATTAACCTCACACTCAAAAAAAAAAAAATATGCAGGCATGCACCCAGGTACATTATTTTTTCCCACAAAGTAAAGAGACAAGAAAAAACTATACAAATGCCTTTTTGTTGTTGATAATTGGATTCTTACCTGACATCTATGCATCCTTGGTAGCTCTGGGTTACAATATTTTGAGATATCCGGTGGTAACCACTTCATGTGATAATCAGCCTTGTTCCCCAGACAATAAGTGTTTTAACTCAGCAATGGCCACATAATTTTCCTACCACCATGTTGAACCCATACCTTGAACTCAGACTGATTGAAAATATGCAGGATATAAACTCTGTTAGTGGAAGAATGAGGGGCACCCCAGGATCCCCAAATCTGCCTGCACTAAATAGGTTCTGTCATCCACCACATCAAGACAAAACATTCTCTTAGTGCATAAGATCTTCAATAGAAAAGAACTTCAATACAATTAATGTGCAACGGAGAGAAAAGAGAAATACCCAGTTACCGATATCCTCATGGGTAAATGCCCAAACAGGGTTGGCCCAAAGTGAAGCCACTGAGGCCCCAAAGCTTACGACAAGTCTAGGCCACCCTCTGGGAAAGGCGCCACCATAGAAAGGGGAAGAGGGGACCAGGAAAATCTGGAAGGAAAGGAGCAAAATCAAAATGCAAGTCGAAGTAAAGGCTGCCACTGTCACCCTCTCCAAGAGTCTCCCCTCCATGCCTGTTTCAAGTGTCCCCTTGCATGTCCTCATAAGTCCCTTGGACAAATCCAGGGCTAAGAAGCAAGCGTGGCCTTTTCACATGTCTCTTTACTCCAGGTTCCTCCTCCAGGTCCTCTTCTTTTCTTCCTTTCCCCAGTTTTTTTTCTAGCTTCTCCTCACTCCTCAGCTCCAACCTTCCTTGGGTGGGCAGGGAACCTGTGACCTTCCCTTTCTATGGATATCACACTTGTAAACCTCCAGTTAATGACTCAACACATCAGCTTGTCCAGCTGATCTTACTCTCATTTCATGAGTTTCAGTGTTAGGGCACTAGTCTTCCACATGCTCCAGTGCTTTTTTGGTTCATTATAGAAGAACACAGCTCTTTTTTTCAATATTATTTTTTTTACATCATTGTTCATTTTTAAACAATATTTGCTTCCCCCTACCTGCTCAGGTGTAGAGTTTCGTTCCCCAATGCACCCGTGTACCATTACCTCAGACCCCTGTGCTCCTCCCTCCCTCCCTCTGATCCCTCTCCTGCCTCCTCCCCTGCAATGTGTCTCTGATTTATAATTGTCTGTTTTTGCTTTGTTGAGTTTTGTACTGTTATTATTTTTTTACACTGATGTCTAATTTGGTTCCCCTATATTCCTGCTATAAGTGAAACCATCCGATATTTTTCTTTTTCCTTCTGGCTTATTTCACTGAGCATAATTCCTTCTAGTTCCATCCACATTACTGTGAATGGCATGAGTTTATCTTTTTTGATTGCTGAATACTATTCCATTATGTACATATGCCACATCTTCTTGATCCAGTCATCTATTTTTGGGCATTCGGGTTGTTTCCAGGTTTTACCTATTGTAAATAGCGCTCCAATAATCATAGGTATACAGGTGTTCTTTTGAATCAATGTGTTTATTTCCTTTGGGTAGATCCCTAGGAGTGGAATTGCTGGGTAGTATGGTAGCTCCATTTTTAGTAGACTGTGGAACCTAGCTTTTCATAGTGGTTGGACCAGTTTGCACCCCACCAGCAATGCAGGAGAGTTCCTTTTTTACCACAGCCTCGCCAACATTTGTTGTTGCTTGTTTTTTTTTGATATGTGTCATTCTTACTGGTGTAAGGTGATATCTCAATGGAACACAGCTCTTTTAAAATGGGAACCCTGATCTGAACTTTAGGACTATATATGAGTTTTGATTGGATTTTTTCCAGAACTGCTCCCTTCTCCTAGGGAAAAGAATACTGCATACCTACTAAGCAGCATAAAGATGTTAACTTCTATAGCAGAGGCCCAGCCTGTGGTCAGGTCTTCCTTGACATCTGTCTCTCAGATCTATCTTCACTGGGTTTTGGCCACCATTCTAGTTAAGACTCTAAAAATTCTTTAAAATACTCTTTCAGTATACAATTCAATTATGTGTGAAAACTGTGCGTCCTCTTAATTTTCTTAATTGACTAATACTTGAATCTTACTTAATCAAAACCTTTGAAAATTATATCATCGGGTGTTTTTGTAAATTCCACTCTTTAAAATAAAAAACATAATCAGCATTACATAGCTTAATCTCCATTTTGAAAGCAAATGTTGTTGTGTTTCTTAATCTAGGTAAATCATAATTAGTTTGATAGAAATAACATCAGTAAAACGATCAGAATATAATTTTCTTTAGCTGTTTTTTAATGTTAAAAATACCACAATTTTATTTGTGCATTTGATCATTGTTCTCAATAGTTTTGTTACCTTAAATTTGTGAGGTTGAATTTGTGAGGTTAGTCTCTCTAAAAATGGTTCAATAGGCTTTTCTCAACATACCCACAGGCCTCTTGTCATTTGTTATGGGAACTAGAGGCCAATCAAGCCCCACCCCTGCAAGCCTTTGAAGGTTTATTACCATTAAATAAAGTGTATTATTTTGGGCTGAGTAGTGAGGGTCCTAAAAGACTGTGAGAAGCTTCTGTGCTTGCCTAAGTCCTTCACCCCTCCATAATTAAGGAAGAGACCATGTTCTAAACTTCTGCTCTTTTGCTAATTGAAGAAGCAATCACTGTTTTCCCTGGCATGACTAAAGCTTTTAAGTTTGAGGGTATTTTCCCCCTGTTCTAGGTTTATTGGTAAACATGCTCTAAGAATCTCATCTTTACTCTGGGAGTAAGGATAATGTCACTCTTTTCTGTCTGTCTTGTCAAGTCTCCCCATCTCTCCTGGTGTGCTTCACTGTCCTTAAGAATGCACAGCCATGTAATTTCTCCATATGTGTGTTATTAATTGTTTTTCCTTTGCTAACCAGCCTGATACTGTTTTGGTTACTTTTACAGCCTGAGAAGAACACTGAAGAATTCAGGGATGATTTCTTTTGTGTCCCAACAAGTCGATTAAGGTAACTCTACAGCTCAGATTCTGTAAAGGAGAGGTGCTGTGAATTTTATAGATATGCTTTGTGATACAGCACATTGACATACAGAAGATACTGTTTCTTAGTAGTGTTGTTAAATTTTTTAGCTTTTTTTCTTTTCTCATGTTGTCATTTGTACTTTAGCTGAGTTCCTTTCCTCTACTTTTCTCCTCAGTCTCTGTATTTTGAAAGTGCAGCCATTATTTAAAGGTTCTCTCAAATTGAATTGAGATGAAGTTTTAAAATTGCCCAAAGTTGGAATCATTCTTGCCACATTGGCTCCCTAACATGTGACTTGCACTGTTTATTACACAAAGGGTTGAACTAATCCCTGAATGGTTTTATCCTTTAATACATCATTACAACTAGAAAGTCAGTTGCACTCTAAGGGCCCAGTGCTCCTCATAGTCCTTTAATTCAGTATTACAGTAAGTATTTTCTCAATTTTTGTGTGTTTTTGGCTTAGTAGATAAAATCTTGATGAAGTTACAGCAAGTTAACATTATTTATAGAATAACACTACTTATTTATTTCCTTACCACCTTCTTTTAGATGCTCTATTCTTTTTGCTCAAATGTCACTAATGATAGCATATTTTATAAATTAAAGTTCATTGTTTCAGAAACTTTTGAAAAATTAGAATGGCCTAATGGAAAAATATCAATTGATTTTGCAGCTGGCACCAAGGCACAAAGCCTAGGAAATGCCACCTACTGCCAAATTTCACACCATCTGGTAGTTTCAAAATAATTTATTTAATAAATATTTAATAAATATTTCAAAACAAACAGTGTCACTGGAGATATTTACCTTCATATGAGTATAGCCACAGATATTATTTTACAAGCTTCGATGAAAGGAAATAAAATGAATAAATAATAGTACTAAGTTGGGTCAATGAACATAAAACTCCATAGAATTATTTAGTTAATTAGGGGTCTCCCTGGTGGTGCAGCAGTTTGTGAAGCTGTTGGCAGCCTCTGCAGCGTGGGTTTGATTCCTGGCCAGCCAGGGAGATACCCACATGGTGCAGCAGACCTCGCCTGTCTTGTCTGCTGCTCCCCTCAGCAGCGTACTTCAGTCCTTCTGCCTGTTCTGCTCCCTGCTCTGTCTCTGGTGAATCTTCTCACTCTCTTGTGCCTCTGGCCTGTAACCCAGCTCTTGTATAAATAAAAATAAATCTTTAAAAAAAAGAATTATTTAGATAATGTAACCTATATTCATGCTCTTTTGGAAATTTTTTATTTTCTTTTAGAAATAATGACTTATTTTTCATGTATTATCTAACTTTGTATAAATTTGTGATTATTT